TTTTAAATCCTCAGGATATTGAGTCATCCCACATCTCGCCAAGGTTAAACTCGTTTGAAGGATTATCGGCGGCGAAAATGCGATGGTTTCAAGTTCCAAAGAGCGCACCGACTTCCGTATGTCAGCACGTTAGTCGATACGAAATATTTATAACACTATATTATTTTATTATTATATCATTATAAAATAAATGTCAAATATTTTCTACAATGTACCACAAGTTAATTACGGTAGCACATTAAACGCCTGTGTTTGTTCGGGTGTTGCCGAAAAAATGATTTACATTGCGATAAATGAAGCTTCATACATCGCGTGAAAATTGTTATCATGTCGAACAATTCAGTATTTAGTATATTATAAAATTAATAATAATATACGTGTAATAATGTCAGTGTTATTTTGCGTATTTCAAACTAAATGGATTTAATGTTGAAACCTTTGAGTTAACAAAAAATTCAAAGCGCGGGATTTAGGTAATATTACAAGATTGATATTGCAAAATATTTAAACCTGAGCATTATTACAGAGATAATCATCACAATAATTCTTGATCATTTATGTTTTTTGTTTTATTTTTCGTTTTTAAAGTCACACGAAATATTTGCTCGAGCAAATTGCTATTATTAGCTCGATACGTGTACAGAATGTTAAAAGTGAAATCATCGATATTGGCGAATTATTAGTGAGAAGAAATCATTGATAAAAAGTAACGTGATGATATGCGAAGCGGCGTTTGTCCGCGACATTACCTGCTCGTTTGAGGAGTTGTGCGTGATAGATAGAAATGATAGCGCGGTAATCTTTGTATACAAATCGTCCTTAATTATTTTCGCTTGACAATCGTTATAATACAATTTCACATTATTATTATAATTTATTAGTAGAGTACAAAACCGCATATTTTCACAAATTGAACAGAACTATCACATGAGAGGCGTATTTAAACTATTAATTATATACTTACAAATATAGTGTAAGATGTATTACTTGTTAGTTTAGCATACTATATCACATAGATATTTTTGTTGAGTTTTTAATTATAATCAATTGTTCGTATTTTTCTACATATATACGAGAAATTATTTATGTTTAACTGTATCTGTAGCGCAAACGAGCTTCCGTAAATCGGAAATAATACGATGATTATAACCTTTGAATTGTAACGTTTTGAAAAAAATCACACTAAGGATAAACATCGGTTTAATAGACCGATATCTGCATGTTTTCGCGAATAAAAAGAAAAAATAATAATTAATAATAATTTATAACAAAAAATGAATTTTTTTAGTTTTTCTGAATACTTGTATACGTAAGGAAAGAAAAAAAGATATGTTGAAGGTCAGCAAAAAATCTCATGTACATATAAAAGAAATAAAATATATTTAAATAGTAACAAACATATTTTACAAACTGTTTACTTAAATTTAAAGTTGAATAAAAATTATCATTTTTTGGTAATTGTTTAACTCAAAATTGAATAGTTGACTGAAGGAAAAGTGTTAATTTACTATGTTAGTGTAATTAGAGTTATTTATTATATAATCTCTTTTTTAAATTATGCAACTATATTTAAAAAGAGTTGTCTGAACTTTCAAAAATTTTTGTTGGCATACCAGTGCAGTCAAATACTTCTTTCATGTGTTCTATAAATAAACTGATGTCTCACATTTTGCATATTTATACAAATTTCATATTTTAATTTATAATGTGCATGTTATAAATTATAATAATTTTAAATAAAAACTTTTCTAATCTCAAAATAAATATGTATACCTATAACAGTATACCAGTAATAAGAGTTAAAATATGTAAATAAAATGTAAATGAAAAAATACATACATGCTTAATATTGCAAAAAAATAAGGCAAATAATAAACCCCGGTTTGTGAGATTGCTACAATTTTTCAACATCCCATATTTTACACGTTTCCAGCGAATAACAACGAGACCATTGTAATGCTTGTTAGGAACAGATAGCATATGTAGGTGCTATAAGCATTACGTACAAATGTCTTTCATGAATGAAGGAAGTTGTTGGGCATGTAAAGTTTCAATAGCGGTCTGTGAGACCGATATAACCAGTTTAAAGGTTAAAAGTCATTATAATCTTAAATAATAATATTTCTCCCAACGTTATTTGCGTAGATAACGATTGCTATCTGGTTTGAATATATACATGTACATTATTTATGTACAAGATAAAAAAACGATAAATGTGCAGATAGAAAACATGCATGTAATGCACAGCATTACATTTTATTTTTTAAATATGCGAAAGTAGAGATCTTACATATATATTATTTTATACTATATATTAAGTGGCCCGTTAAAAGGACAAAGAATTTTAATGTACTACCATTAAAATGTGGCTTAAAATGTGTTTGTTAATTTTTTATGACCTAAAATTTTATTTAGCGCCGGTATATATCCGCCCACGTTTCAATTTATCATTTCACTCAGAGTACATTACTTCCTATACCTTACTTCCGTTCTATATACATTTCACGATACATTACGTAATGATTTAATATCAGGGGTCGGTTGTATTTAAAATATGTATTTTAAATAACAAAAAGTAAAAGAGTTATTTAGTATTTATTATTTTAAATAACTTCTTCTGATCTATTTTACATTTAATATTTTAAATACGTTTTTGGAATCTATTTTATATTTTTCAACATTTTAAATAAGTCGTGTTTCTGGAATCTATTTTATATTTGTTATTTTAAATAGGTTATATCAGTTACTTTACCGACTTCTGCTTATCAGAGATCGGTCGTGTTTAAAAAAAAAAACATTATTTAAAATATGTATTTTAAATAAAAAAAAGTAAAAGAATTATTTAGTATTTATTATTTTAAATAATTTTTTCTGATCTATTTCTTATTTAATATT